CAAACAAATATTTCTTCAATGCATTTACTTGATTGACGAAAACAATTATTTATTCAATGAATTTAATAATACAAGGCAAGAAATAAATTAAACAACATTTTATTTCATTAATTTATGATAATACAATCTTAAAATTGTTAACTCTTCTCATTTTATAATTTGTCCTTATATATATTTATGACATTTTTATATAAGAAAACGTTTTAGTAGTTATACGATACACCCATAAGCAAACAATGTTTTATAACAAACATACAATCGGAATTTTTTTAAACATACTTTTCCGATTATTTATGTTTTTATTCATCCAAAATTTTACAATTATATATTTTTAGTTACGTAAACAATTAGATTTCATAATATTTAGTCAGAATATACCTATATATGTCAAACGAATTTCAAATACTTTACTGTAATGATTCTAACTTTCAAGTAATACCTACTGACTCTGCAGTATAATTATACAGAAATGAATAAACATTACTATTGGGTCAATCTACGTCAATAAATTAATTGATATGTAGAATATTTATTCGAAAAATTACATACGACTGTATTATAGTGTGAAATCAAATTTTGCAACTAAACGTCGAACAAAGAAAAAAAATGTATAGAGATCATTTTAATATTATACATATAAATGAATAACAATATTATGTAATTTGCTGTATRTCACTACTTTAATAAATTTCAATAAACAAAATATATTTTATTCTTGAATGCAGTCTAAGAAAACATAGAACTCTATTAAAAAAATATTATTTTATATGTATGGTATTATGCTTGTTTTTCAATATTAAAAATATTTGTATTACTTCTATGGTTATTTCAGATAAAACTATTTACTTGCTTTAAGTAAATAGTCAAGATATTTTTTTACGACTTTATTATTATTTGGCTTTTATAAATTATTGATCTCATTCAGTCATCCAGTCAACCATAATATAGATTATAAACTTATATATATAGACTAATTGAGATAATAGTTAATAAACGCAGTATTACTAGTATTAGGCATAATGAAATATTGAAAATGTTGAAAATAGTTCCTTTTAGTTTTTCCAATGACCAATTGAAATTTAAAATATTTTCACAGTCAATTTAGGTAGGAATTTGTTTGTTTAGTTTGTTTAGAATATTATGTTTGATATTTTTACTATAAGGTTTAAATTTGTATTGGGTGTGTATACTGTATAGTATAAACAATTAGTATACGATATACCAAATTGTATGTTTTTTTGATAAGATTCGATTGCAAAAATATTTTTAACAAAATAAGTCAATAAACATTCAAGCATTGTAAATTGATTATACAAATAATTAAATTTACTATTAGTCTATAAGCTATTTCAAATAAAAATATTGAAAATTAAAACAGTTAATCCTTCACAAACTCGTATTAAGTACCTATACTTGCCAAATTAAACTTCTGTTTTAGTAATAATACAGTTGAAATAGAAAAAAATTAAGTAGTTATCTGGTATATTTAGATTATAATTTATGAATAACAATATATTTTTGTTTAGTTAAAAATGTAGGTAAGCTCTCTACAATACATTGACACTAATATACACTAGTATATTATGTAGATACTAATATGCATTRTACAACCACCACTTGTTTAATAGTCACTAATCGTCTAGTTGTTATCTAGTCAATTTTGTACTTGATATATACCTAAATATACTAATAAAATATATAAAACATGCCATTAAATTTGCTGCATAAATACATTATTTGTATACATGTAATATTAGACTATATAGTCTCAATATTAAAAATTAACTTTAAAAAAAAAAAATAACGTTTTAATATTCTTTTATAATTTTTGTTTTTACAAATCACGATTTACAAATAATTCATTTTTGTTATTTGATTTATACAAATGCGCATAAATTATTGTATATGAAGTCGTGAACATTGGTAATTTGTAATTATTTTAATCACGATACTGATTGGTGTTAAAATTTTTATTTCACTTATCTCTAACTTTAAAAACCACCATTAGTTTAATTTGATAAATTATGCGTATGCACAAAAGTGTAATAATATTGTGTTGGATATTAATTCACATTTTATTAGCAATGTTTATAGTTATGAGTTATGATACTATTAAAACTTATCTAGACTTATAAATAGTTGTAAACAACAAACAGTGTATTAGCTTCTTGGAACTCTGCTCAATCTAAATAAATGTTTTTTTAATAAATGTTTTTTGAGAAAAAAAACTATTTATCTAAAATAAGTAAATCAACTCTAAATCTGTAAACATGAATAACGTTAAATTAATTGTTGAGAATTTGAGATTATTTACTAAAGATTTTAACTTTCCCGTATAATGGTTACAAATCCTAATTAATGGACTATTGAAAATTAAAAAAAAGATTTTATTAAATTAAAACTGTACAATTTTTAACACTATTTTATATACACTCTATACCTACTTAATTTTTACTGCTTTYTTACAATGGCATTTTAAATAATAAAACAATTTTGTATACATATTATATTTTACATAAATTTAATAATTTACGAGCTCATAGAAATTATTCTAATATTTGTTGTATTCAGTAATTTTATTGATAAAATAAAATGATTTCATATTTCAAATTTTTTTTAAATAGTCTCGATAAATTTATAATTTATAATATTATATCCATACATGGATTACACTACATTATTTAAGCAGGCAACGAACGCAATTTAAACAATTTTGGAGGGGTGCCGGCATGTACTCGTACCTATACCTATATAATTAAGACGCGAGTAGGTAACATATTCGTTCGTGGTTTTATTCAAATATTTCACCTGCATTGTGAAAATTCTTAGCAAACACTGAATGTAAGATTTTTTGTACTCGGTTTTATTAGATGCAAATTACATAATAATAAAACAATTTTTAGTCGAGGTCTATGACCTATCATCTATTATACCAATACGAAATCAACGCGCGTGTTTTCATGATGTATAGGTACGGCGTAGGGTTATTCGACTGTAATTACTATTAATAACTTAATGTTATTGTAAATTAAACATACCTAACAATTTTAACATTAAGCCTAAAATGCATATTACGCAAAAACCTGATTTAAAACGAAAATGCTTATTTTATAGATACATTGTTTTTTTAAATCGAATAAACTTCTCGTTTGGTCTGATAGTTGTATAATATCAGTGAAAATGGATAAATTAGAGAGAACGAACTTAAACATCAAAAATAATAATGTAAACATTCTTAAAGCAACCATCTGGATAGTAAACATGTATTAAAATTATTTTTAATAAATATAATACAATATTTAATGATTTATAATAATGAAAATCTAAAATATTTACAATTGACATATCAAATAAGATGTTTAATCATTTAAAATATTTATTGTTATTACTTATTTGTATCATAGATATTTGTTGAGCTGTTAATAATAATCATTGCATGTTTATTTTATTCAAAAATGTTTAACTTTAGAGTTTTTCAACCCCCTCTTACCTCCCAAAATTGTATTTTTCATGGCTAGCATGTTATCTTGTGTATATATACTAATGGAATCCTCCTGAGATTATTTTCTAATCACACCACTGATGTGTAAACGATCCTATGATTGTATCATATTTTTTCTACGATATTTTTTGAAGAGAATACTTATGCCTATTATAATTGACTTTTGAGACCGACCATTAGTATATTATTATATTATATTAGTGTCTGCCAGTATATATTGACTGTACGAGTATATCGAATTTTCTGGTTTTTAGTCCATGCAGATGTTTTCAACAAATATATATATATATTTATCATTTAATATCTTAAAATAAAATTAGTCTTCTAACATTCACAAACAATAATGAAATAGTATTCTTATTATTTGCGGGTGACTTATTCAAAACTATTTGTGAATTTGTGACCCAAAATTCAACATGCAAATGTTGAGAAACGCTCGTTAAACTTGTGTTTGCATATTTGTCATAATTGTAATGGTCTTCCCTATTTATGAGTATAATCRTTTATGGTGTTAAATTAACAAAATTATGTTTGTGGTTCATGAATAAAAGATACAATCATTATTATAATGTTTTGCTGCGCTTATTTAACGGTTTATTGACACATTTGAGTTTACCAACATCGAATAAGTACCTATCATGTTTTTGACTCATTGGAAGTCATTATTTGTAATATGATTGAATGAGATCATTCGTCCATGCCCTACAAGCMMACATTAAACGTTTATTATTTYAGATGAATTATGTTATTGAAGCTAATTGGTATAATTAAACGAAATTGCTGCGGTAGGTTACCGTCTTGTATCTAATTGTCTTAATGAAGGAACCGGATGAAAAAAATCTAAATATTTGACTCATTTTATAATTTYTGGTCTGCTGTAACTTATCACTTAATATTGTGCCCATATCGACTTTCGTACTGCAAGTCTTAAATCGTTTTTAAATTTAATACACTTTCACACGAWAAACACGAATTTCGACAATACCCACTTAAATATACATTTGTATTGTACAAACTAATAATTATTTATTAATAACCCATTAATATATGATTTGTTTCAAATGTTGTTTAGAACTGTCGGAAGACAAATCGTTGGCGATTGGACAAAATGCGGAAGACGGGACGGCGATCGCTGTTGAAGACGATCAGACAACGTTTGACGTTAAATATTTAGGCAACACTCCGGTGGATTCTACGGCTAGCGCCATCGCCGAAGCGGTTAAAACCATTTCGGTTATGGTAAATACATTATATTTTTGTTTGGTATGCTATGTATAATAMATTTTATATACATAGATCTTTATGTCTGTAACTTATGTATTTATGTAGGTACAGTTATAGTGCACTATTAAACTTGATTGGGGTCAATRCAGAAGCACAATCTGCTACAATATATTATACTGTCCGTGCGTACTACTTACATAGGATAAATATTATTGGGATAGCTGGAAACAACAATAATAGTATTGATTTAACATATTTTTACGATTTAATTATTGATGATCAATGTACAACGGTGACGGGAGAGTGATAACTGATGAGTGATAATTATAATATAGTACACATACTACCTATATATTATATAACATCGGTAAATCATACCAAAATACATAATATTGATTGCCGATCTCGTGTGTTCAAAATCGTTATACGCGTTCAAAAAATTCAATTTTCWGCAGTTGTGGTTGCAATTACTAAATATTAATGAAAAAAAATTTCAAAAAATCTGATTGTGAWGGGCTGGGGAAACGTTCGTGTTGCAATTGGTTAGGTTAAATTGATRATAAAATTCTTATCAATTTTAAAAATTGCATGAACTATGAATATGTGACAGAAAAATATTTTTATTTGTTATCAACATCTCGGGGGGTATAGCCTCCTTCCATCATAATTTGCGCTTACATAGTTCTATATAACGTTATTGTTTTTTGCTTTATTTGTTTTAAGCGCGTACTATACCCGGTCGACATAATACAGTTGAACAAACATATGTATGCCCACATCATAAGCATGCGAAAATGTGTTGCTAATTTATGGACAGGCGTTACAAAAAATATGGTTATACGTAAATCACGATATGTAGTAAATTGATGAAATTAATTTTTAATGATATTGAGCAACAAATATTTAAATTTTTTACAAAAAAGTTTTTAGAGCAACTCTGGTTAATTGGTAACAGTCTACCACTCTATACTCTATCGATCTTTAGGTACAATTTATTTTAGATTTTTTTACGTTTTRTTCTGTTGTTAACTGTCGTTTAATTATATTATTTCAGCATTTATATCGGATACAATTAAATAATCAATAAATAAATAACTATAGATAAACAGATAAACCATAATCATTATTCTATATAGTTTTATTTTTAATTGAATTTTAATTTACCTATTAATGCTTATTTTAATTTCGGATAAGCACATTATTATAAAATTTAAATGTTATATAGTTTCACTAAATTGATATAATTTAAATTAACTAAAATGTCATTTTTGATTTATTGGCTTAAATACTATGACAAGGAAATGTGCCATTCATTTTGTTCTTTTTATACAGTGATAGATACTRTTTATATTATATTATCAATCAATTACATGRATTTAATAAACATTGAATATAGGTAATATCAAATATTAATTATTATAAATGCATAAATATTTTAATTTCATATCGTTGAAAAAAAAATCATTACATGGAAAATATTTGAGTTTACAATAAATACTCATTCTGATATTGAAAATTATTTTTTAGTAGTTTTGGTGTAAAAGGAAAATATACCTATTACAGATTATGTAGACATGTAGCCTGTTATAAAACTAGTCAAGAGAAAATATCGATCAAACTATAATAATAGGTACTAATGTACTATGGTCTATTTTCTATGTATCTTCAAATTAATTTATTTTATAAATAAAATAATGCCACATATATCCACATAACAATACTATAATATTAAATTAGTGAATTATTAATTAATCAATATTTCTAATTCAAAATCCCTAGAAATAAATATTTATTTATTTCATAATGAATTAAATTATTTTGTTTGTTACGTAAATTGTTTAAAATATAAATAATGTTGTATAATATGGATAATGAAAAAAGAAAAATCTTACTCATCGATTGAATGACATTTTACCAAATGATTTAAATATTTAATGACACAATGTAGCTATGTAGGTTCTTAGTATTCAGTATGATAATGATTAAACAAGTTTTAAATGCGTATAAGTTAATTTTTTAATTCTACGTTTTATAACCTTGCAAAAATATATCTAATATATATTGTATAATGACATGATAAATTTTCACTATATACAACTGAATAAATATATTTCGGTTGTATTAGTAAAATATTATGTACCTACCTAGTATTGAAGTGAAATAAAAAGGTTTATAATATATGACGAATGTTTTATTGTTTAGATTTTATGCTCTGAAGTCTAGTATTTTATATTTTGTATAAATTTAATACAGATAACGAGTACTTATACTTTTATAAGTTCTTAATGTCTTAGAATTATTCCAATAGCCTCTRAGATAAAACATTAATTTTCATGTTTCCCTATGTACCTATACTACAATATTGTATATTTTGTTGGGTAAGAGCAAAATGTTATTACATTTTTCTACATTTTGTATTTAAGTTTGAGATGGATGAYATTTTGCATAATATGATATTTTGGATTATTTTTTTTCTGGCTAACATTTTAAAATGGAGCGGTTGCAGAATAATCGAAATGTTATCGTTACGAGTTAACTTTTAAGGTATCTACACTTAAATCGGACTTAAACCAGTTTKACTTAATCATAAATGTCATATCGTTATTATTTTATATTTAATGTATATTATATACATTAATACATAATGAATAATAATAATATTCGAYGGTACGTTTGCACGTTAAATTAAACTAAGTATATCGATATATGCATATACTTGCAGTATAAACATGAAAAGCAAATTTTGTCCAATGCCATATTGCATTACTTCAAATGTTGAACTCCGTTTCAAATCGTTATCCATAATTTTAGCCAAAGCAATACGTCATGCGGAGTACTGTTCGAATATATTATTATCTGTAATAAATGTCGCAAGAGACCAACCTACAGCATGATTATTGATTAGAATCGGTAAGTAGGTACGCAACGATTATGGCGAACGCTTAGTAAAGTYGAATCAGAAAATGTTTTATCGGTTGTGCAAATTAAATATGCAGCCTGTCGAATCAGTGTTACGGACTGACCTATGTAAATAATATATACAATTTTGCTGTCAACGCGCGTTTTGGATGAATTATTTTCTTTAAATAATCGAATAAAMAATGCACATCGGACGTTTAACATATATGTATAATGTATATAATGCAATTTCTGTTTAGGATAATCTTGTTATCAATTATCATTCCATTCGGAGCGAAACTAGACTTTCGATCTCCTATAATTTATCTGTWTACCTACTTACCTGGTACCTACATGTATCTACCTAACTATATGTACCACACTACCACGCACGGTAGTACAGAGTTCTGGATTTTGAAAAAAAAAGTGTTCACAGACCATTATACAATCCGAAACCACACATATAGTTTGTATAATAATATATTGATGTAAGATGTTTAATAAAATTATATACCTAATTTGTAATTTATAAAATACTTAATATTAAATATTGTATATTATATTGAATTATGAAGACAATAATATTACTAGTTGAAAAAGACAGAATATTTTTCATTGATAACATTTTTTAAAAGACCATTAAACATTTTACGTCTCTGTCTTAGTCCAGTTTTGTATCAGTCTTAAAACTATTGCCATAAAACTAGTATTTTATTTATAGTAAACTAAATTATGAACTCACAACTTAAATTATCTTTTTCGCCATACCAATTAGTTGTGATAAAATGTCAGCAAAATAAAATAATTACACAAAATAATTCATGTAGGAACACGGAGATAATTAAATCGATATTCTTTTAGATTGTGAGCGGAGCGAGTATGTGTTTTTTTGTGTCTGTTATCACGTTTTGGGGGAGTAAAAAGGCTTCGATTTTTGACTTCAGTGCCTTATTACCTAGATCAGAAAGTGAATCTAGTTGGTGATTTAAGGGAGGTCAAAAGTGAAAATTATCAATATTTTTTTAAATAATCGGCATAAATCAACTAAAAATTAAGGAAAAAACGGGAATTTTTACGCACAATCAGTTTTCGACAAAAT